CCGAAGTAAAACAAATTCAGTGGGATGAGATGAAAACAACAGAGCAGGGGCTGCTTAGCGACGGGTGCGATGTTAGGGAGTGGGGAAGGGGTGAGGGGAGAGAAGGAGGCCACAGGTGTGGACCGCCTGCAGACAATAAGCAGGAAGCAAAATAAGAGCTTGGTGCTAATGCGCTACGCATTTACAAACAACAACAGAGGGCGGGGCTGGGGGGGTTTACACTGGAGAGCGAGGGACAATGGGGGAGGTGGGGGGTTAGTCTATCTGTTCCAGAATGTCGGGGAAGCGTTCCGGAACACTGACAGAACACCGCAAGGCTCTGACATTCCGCTCCGCGCCCCGGGGGTCTCCGAATCCCGCGCCCGTCAGCCTGTGAGGGTCGCTTCCTGTACCCACCTCCCCCAACAACCCCGGACAGATGGGTGACCTCTGACCCCGGGAGAAAGGGAAGGGAGCGATCCATCTTCGTTACGGGAGAGGCCTTGGCGGCCCGCGTCCACATGAAAGCCAGAGCGACACCGCGGAATCTCGGTGCATGCGAGGAGCCCTCGTTTGCCTGCCGCGGCTCCGGAGCCAGCGAGACCCCGCTCCCCCAGCTTCTGCTCTCGCACGTAACCCAGAACATCGCTTTCATAACCTGCGCCGCGTCACTCAATACCCACGGAATGCAGCTGCCCTTGTTCCGTCTCCAAAACACTTCATCAAGAACAATAAGAGTAGCGCTAACAGCTACAGGCGAAATTTAAGAAACAAGAAAAGGAAACAGGCCCTTCAGAAGGTGCTTCTGCATGCCCACAGCAGTTAGTCATAGCCCCTCTGTGTACGCTGTGTGCACCACATTCTGTGCTTTACTGAAGAACAACACATACACAGTGTGGTTCGTTAGTATTTAAACGATGACACAAATCACGGACTGCATCGTAATTTGATGGCATTAGCACCCATATGAACGATGTAGAATTTACTGGCCCTAAAAATTGTGTCACCATCCCAATATTTACGGAACGTATTGAACCCAAGCGGTGAAACCCATGGAAAGCTGGGAGTGAGATACTGCACACGCGGTGAATCAGTGGCGCCTAAATGACCGCCGGGTCCAACCAAACACGTTCCCTGGGTCTTAATCATTCTGAGAGACGAGAGAGACACATATTTCACCCGCCGCATCCCTCACTCTCACCGGCAGATTTGTCCGGAAATCCCTCGGGCGCAACAGTGGCTCTAAAATGAGAATAAAAGCAGGAGCCCCGGGAGACAGTGGAGCTTTGGGCGATGAGGACGGGCAGGGGGCGACTTGGCCGGGGGCGCAGCTGGTGCAGAACACGAGCATTACCGAAAGATCAGCGCCACTCATCACTGAAGCACACACACACCTCCACACAGTCCGATGCTGTGTGTGTGTGTGTGTGTGTGTGTGCATGTGTGTGTGTGTGCGAGTGTGTGTGTGTGTTCGTATGCGAGCATGTGAGTGTGTGTGCGTTCGTATGTAAGCATGTGAGTGTGTGTGTGTGTGTGTGTGTGTGTGTGTGTGTATGTGTGAGGGCGCACAAAGAGAGCACTACACCACACCACTCACCTATAAAAGCCAGACTTAAAGACCCCTGCAATGAACAGAGCGGTAATAAAAGAAACCCATCTATTTCCAGCCAGACCATTAACCCGGACAAAGCGGAGAAAAAAAACCAGTGTCTGCAGAGAGGGGAAAAATACCCATTTACCCACTTTTCCCTTCCCAAAATTCAATACATAAATATTAATACGGGAGCGGAGATGAGTCTCCCTCTTCTTTAATGTAATTGTGTTCCTCCTGGAGCCATCGGCTTTATGAGAGAACAGTAACCCTGTGCTTCATAAGAGAAAGAAAGTCAGGTAAAAACTAGATGCTGGATGGTATCGGGACCAGAAAAGGTGTGAAATATGGATTCTGCCCACACTCCTCCCCCCTCCCTCCCTTTATTTCTCTCCCTCCCCGAGATGGCTGTAGATTTCCTGCATCGCGGCAGCATTATACTCCATCTTGGCTCTCACCGTGGCTGGGGCTCTGCCGCTGGGATCCTCAGGCTGGGGGGGTCCGGTCTCGAGGGGGGGGGCCAGGGCAGAGTCACTACTGCTCCTGACCAGCAGGGGATTGTCTGGAGTAGAGAACAAACACAGGGAAACATGTATTACACAGTGCACAGCACAGGGCACTCACATTGACATGTATTACACAGAGCACAGCACAGGGCACTCACGCTGACACATGTATTACACAGTGCACAACACTGGGTACTCACACTGACACATGTATTACACAGTGCACAGCACAGGGTACTCACGCTGACACATGTATTACACAGTGCACAGCACTGGGTACTCACACTGACACATGTATTACACAGTGCACAGCACTGGGTACTCACACTGACACATGTATTACGCAGTGCACAGCACAGGGTACTCACACTGACACATGTATTACACAGGGCACAGCACTGGGTACTCACACTGACACATGTATTACACAGTGCACAGCACTGGGTACTCACACTGACACATGTATTACACAGTGCACAGCACTGGGTACTCACACTGACACGTGTATTACGCAGTGCACAGCACAGGGTACTCACACTGACACATGTATTACACAGTGCACAGCACTGGGTACTCACACTGACACATGTATTACACAGTGCACAGCACAGGGTACTCACACTGACACTGCATTTGCATTTTCCAGAACATTCTCTGGCTGCATGAGGACGTTTTCCTCTTCACTGCAGAGGAATTATTTCCTGAGATTTAAGCCATTTTGCAGATGGATTGCGGGGGGAAATGGTTTTTGAAACAACACCAATCGCCACAGACATTTGTTATGAGTGCAATGTTAATGCCAGTGAGTCTAACAATTTGATAGCAAAGGCAGCGCAGTTGACATTTATGAGTCCATGTTACAGTTTACCATGAATTCTGAGGAAGAAAGCATTTCCAGTATTTTTTTTTTCAGATTTTAAACGATAGAGTGAACTCTCTCTATACTGAATTTTAAGAGCACCTTGGAGGTATGCGTGCTTGTGTGAGCGCATTTCTGTATCTCCGTGTGTGTGTGTGTGTGTGTCTTCATAGGTACCAGCGCACGTTGGAATAAGCAATTAAGACCCAGTGGCAAAAAAACCGAGGGAAACAGTTCATGTTCGTCTATCTTGTTTTCTACCTCGTTGAGCTCATTTTCAATAAAAGGATGAGGAAGATTTCTGTTAGAAGCAGACGATTAATTTGAATGACTGTCAATTTCACATTCGCCACTTTATGCAAATGTGCAACTTAGCAGAGTACGTGGATGATTGTAAATGATCCCCAGCCTGTCTACAGGTGATGCGACAAAATTAATGCGATAACAGCACCACCTGAAGGTCAGGCAGAGAGAGAACGGAAACGCGTGAAGCCCTGTTTGGATACGGGCCCAATGCAGGCCACTCCAGCACCAGGCCTCTCGCTCCGTCAGAGAAAACAAGCACTTACCACTGCCGTACTGCTCCAAACCACAGCGTTTAATTCCGGAACATTCTCAGCAGCTCACTCTTTGAAACACTCCATTTGCATTCTGTGACAGCGCTCACTCTAGGTCCAAACAACAGTATTACACAGCAACTCTGGAAGTGCACAAATCGCTTTGTACTGAGTATTTATCCTTCATAAAAAATACAGTAGGGATCAGCAGACCACATGTAGCGTGACTTTGAGAAAACTGCGTTGCTGTATAATTCGCAGTGTCCGCGGGCTGATTTGTGATCGATACACCAGCTGTCAGTCACGATAAAGGAGAAGTCTCGCTCCTGGATCTCTATACACTCTCAGCGGCCCAGAGAGGACGGGCTCCGCTGGTTCGGATCTCCCCCCCCCCCCCAGGACAGGCTGGACAATGAGGCGACACGCAGCTACACTCTGCCTGGCCAGGACTCCAGCTGCTCATTCAGAGCTGCCTAAATAAAGCCAATTACTGCCTGCGAGCAGCCGTCCGAGAGCTAGAGCCAGGAGCGGGGGGGACGGAGGGGGGGGCTGTTCATTCAGCAGGTCTCAAACCCTGCTATCAAAGCCTGAGCACAACACACAAGGGCCAAAGGAGGTGAGCATTTCACCTCGGATACATCAGACCTCAGAGGCAAGAGTCACTGCATAACGCCATCAAAGCATAAGAAAACCAATTCTTCCTCAGATACAGCAGAAAACACAGGCCGATTTTTAGACCTATTAGCAGTACGTGATACAGACTGTTTTTAACTGAGAAATATCAGGTAACGGAGACCGTTTTCACTGGCGAAATAGAACATGACACAGGCCATTTTCATCTAAGAAAAGGAGATAACACAGGCTGATTTTATATCTGCAACACACACAACACAGGCTGATTTATCTGAGAAACAGGACATCACACAGGCAGTTTTTATCCCTGTAACACACATCACACAGGTTGTTTTTATCCCTGTAACACACACAGGCAGTTTTTATCCCTGCAACACACATCACACAGGTTGTTTTAATCCCTGTAACACACATCACACAGGCTATATTAACTGAGTAATAACAGATAGCACAGGCTCTTACTTCAGAAACAACGCAGGGAGCTCAGCTTAATCTGCCTCTAATGAGGTAAATTCCACACAAAATCCCCCAGAGAGCGGGGAAATCGGGAAAAATACCTCCTCTTACCCCCCCACAACACTTTGTCTCACAGTTAAACACATCAGAGAGAGAGAGAGAGAGCCCCATGTACAAACACAGCTGCAGTCAGATGGGGGGCTGTGCTAAAGAGCCTGTGTTTGGTCCCGTAATTCAGAGTCTGTCCCCAGCAGGGTGTCAGGGACAATGCCAGCAAAAATCTCAGACTGACCAATGCCCAAATAAGCCTATCGGCTGTTCCAGCTAACGGGTCACAAGTATCAAACCCAGCGCATTATCAACCACTGATGAATTATCACTTTATTCTGTCACTGTTCAAAGCCGGGTCAGAAAATTCTGATCCCACATGAGGATTGAACTCACGACTTGGGAATTCTGTCCCACTGCTATACCAACTGAGCTACTGAGTTCAGTTGGGAGCAATTTGCACGTTTAATCTCAAGACCACAATGTGCATGACAACTCACCACGATGAGCAATAGGAAGATCGATTCTAAGACATAAAACAGTGTCCAGACAGGTCTCTGACATAAATACTTCAGACTAACACCGCATTTCCAGATTTGATAAGATGAGGTCAGTAACTGGTAAGAAAACGGTGGCGCGTTTGGGGTGGGGGTGAAGGGTGGATCACACACAAACTCCATAATAACAGTAAGGGGCATTTCATATTTCCTCACTGACCAACCCCGCCATACCACAGCATACTCAAAGTGTATTCAAAGCAGACAGAAGTGTATGTCCACATAGTCGGTCGAAGATTCGCTCCGAATTTCTGTCCAAACAGACTTTGACTTGTCCGCTCTCGTCACTTCCGGGCCCCCGCAAGAGCCACAAAAATAACTGATTCTTTGAGAGAAAAGATACATCAAAGAGTTAACATACTAAAAGAGTAGAGCAGACACATTAATCTAACCATGCTACTGGAATGGGATTCATTCAATCATCAGACTCCTAAAATTATATTTCACCTTTTCTCGGTACCGACAAATACATACAAAGCCAGAAATTCATCAACATGCCTCCAATCTGTTTAGCCCACAATAATATAATTTACTCAATCTTACGTTCAGCACACTTGTCACCAAACATTAGCAGAGTGCCACATAAACTCATACAGGCCTCAGGGAAACACTGAAAACTGCATCCATCGAATGAATAAGAGATCAGCAGGTGTATCAAACACAAAGACAAAGACCATATAAAATGCACCGTATCTGGAGTATTTTCAAACCCTGTCCCAATATGTGTGTGTGTGTGTGTGTGTGTGTGTATTTGGCTGTGACGCAGTGGCGGCATCCCCCATGGGGACTCAGTACAGGACTCCTCTGTATAACTGCACAGTAATCAGGAGTCTGGGACTCTAATCAGGGCCGTGAGGAGCAGCGCTGCAGAATGGCCTCATCAGGGCTGATTGAGTAATGAAGCCTGAATCAGAGCGCTTTTGGGCCCCAGCACCGCTAACCGTGCTAAACGCAGGGGCCGCGGCGCTCCGCCGCTCACCGCCAGCGACTCTGATTACATTCCTCAACCGCCGCATTATTACTCTTCCAGAAGCTTCCGCTGGCATCAATCACCCGTGCCCGTAAGTAATTAGTCTGGCGATCACAGCGAGAACTATGAATACAATTCTGCGAGGATTTTTTACACATCTCATTGCATTCTCTTCCTTTTTCAGATTCATCAAGCAGCCGTACAAAATGTCTCATTTCTACCTTGGTATAATTGGATGGCACGCATGTTATATGGCAGATGTCTCCCTCAGTGGTAGATGAAGGAGGTTTTCGGAAAGGTTAGTAACCATGGGGCCGTTCTAGTCATTTCCTTCTGCCTCCATCCCTGTGTTTGCGCTCATTTTTTGGAGTAAGTGGATCACTTCACATCAGCAGCCAAAAGAATTTCCAAATTAACTCTGTTTTCAAATGCACATAAAATTTTAAACAACTGGATTCTCAGGAAGCATTTGATGGTGCCATGGCCAACTGTATTCACCAACACAGGTCTTCTGAAAAGCATCTCGGTTCATAACTCAGCACTGCCTAAGGGCTCGAAGGTCACGTGTATCCAATACAGGCATGCAGTCTCATCTTTCACACATGGATATTGCGCCAGTTTCTCTGGAGTTGCACCTTCATCAAATTTGGAATTTGGGAACATTTAGAAATCACTTATTTCTGTTTCAATGAGCATTCCATATATACTGTCACAATTATTGTGGAAATTAAGTTGTAGTTAACACAAACCTTGGAGTATCACACACACACACACACACACACACACACACACACACACACACACACACACACACACACACACACACACACACACACACACACACACACACACACACACACACACACAGATAACCATATGACCAATGGTAACCAGAGTCCCAGACCCAGCCCTTGACCCAGCATTAAGTCTTTTCCTCATAAGGACCAAAGAAAGCTCCCTACAGAGCTGTTGCATTTATCCAGACTTCACCATCCTTGTAGGGTCCTTTCATCCCCAAATGTATTGACAAACCCACAAACACACGTGCACACACACAGAAATGTGCACACACTCGCATGCACGTACACACACACACACACACAATTCCACTCACAGACACACACACCCGCGTACTCACACATATGCACGCGCACAAAAACAGAGCATTTTACATGGACTTGCTGTGGCAGAAGTGATGTCAGTTTGAGAATCTGTCACTCGGCTTCTCCATACCAAGCCTCAAAGCCCTCCAAGAGCCGTACAGACTACAGCCATTTACAGCTTCACAATGACTGCCTGCAGTTTTTATTTTCTTGAGCCTGTCATTTTCAGTCACTCTGGTAGATCACTACCTCTCAAACAGAAATCTTAATATCAGCTTTTTCCTGAAAAGAAACATCAATAATTCAGCATCAGAACTCCCATATAACCCATTTAGAGTATAATATATAGTAGCAGGATGCAAGGTGACATATTAGACAGTGTAGAACTCTTAACAGACGAGACAACAAGACAGTATTAACTATGAGAGAGATCAGCTCAACACACCAAGTAAAGATAGATATCCTCTGTATGCACTCAGAACAGATATCCTTTGTACACACTCAGTACAGACAGATATCCTCAGTACTCACTCAGAACAGGCAGATATCCTTTGCACACACTCCATGCAGACAGTCATTCACTCTGTGCATACTCGGTACATATACAGCGATCCTCAGCACGCAGTACAAACCGATATCCTCACTACTCACTCAGTACAAACATATCCTCAGTGCACTCTCGATACAAACTGATATCCTCTGTACAACCTTGGAACAGATAGAGATCCTCAGTACACACTCACTACAAACTGATATCCTCAGTACAGACTCAGTACAGACAGATATCCTCAGTACACACTGAGTACAAACTGATATCCTCAGTACAGACTCAGAACAGACAGATATCCTCAGTGCACACTCAATACAAACTGATATCCTCTGTGAAAACTCAAAACAGATAGCTATCCTCAGTACAGAGTCGGTACAAACCAATATCCTCAGTACACACTCAGTACAGACAGATATCCTCAGTATAAACTCGATAGAAAATGATATCCTCTGTACACACTCGGTACAGTTAGAGATCCTCAGTACACACTGAGTAAAGACAGATGTCCTCCGTATACAATCGGTACAGGCATATATCTTCTGTACATATTCTGTACAGGCTAATATTCTCTGTACAGGCAGACATCCTCTGTACGCACTCAGTAAACCCAGATATCCTCTGCACACATTCATCACTGAATCCCAGATGACACGTTGTGGAGACCTATATGTCGCGTATTTGTGTCTATAAGCGTGTGCAAATATGTGCGAGCGTGTCCCAGAGTCACATGAAAGCAGACCGCTCTAACGCTTGTATTGTCCGCGCCGCTCGCTCATGTGGCGCCGATTACACGCCTCAGCAGCACATCCTCCTCTGAGCTGCTCCCCTGAGGTCAGGTCCTGGGACAGGGGGTCAGTGGGGAAAGGTTTCATGTGTCAAAGGATATTTACTTCCATCAAAACCCCTCAACACCCCCAGTCCTCCATGAAGAGTTTCCCCAGCGCTGGAATCGCTAAAACAGGGACACTCATGTGTGGGGGGTGTAAGGCTCCTAATTTGGGCACACACACAACACACGAACCCCACTGCACTACACAGTACCAGTCTCTTTAAGGAATGCAGGTCCCCACGCCTTCACTTAAGAGGAGAACAGTTATTCTGTAATTGCGGAGTACGAGTTCCTCTGAGACCCAACTGCAGAGCTGAAAAATGCAGTTCACTGAAGTGCACAAGTAAGGCCTACATAATTCAGTACAAGTAAAGCTGACAGGCTGACATTGTGGAATAAGGATCGCAGTTTCTGAAGGGTTCTTCACACAGAAGTTATTCCAAAAAAAAAAAAAAAAACAGGATTGAAATAAGCGGCAAACTGACGAGGCAGTCACCGGGACTCCTCCAATTATCTTCTTCTTGAGCAAATGACAGGCCTGTGGAAGAAGGAAACCTTTGAGAAACTGTCCACTGGGCTTTCCTCCTGTGTTGAGAGGAAGACGTTGCTCTGGTCGAATCCCGCCGCAGCACGGCTCGGCAATCTTCTGGGAGTGGACCCTCCTCTTCCTCCCCGTGAAGGGCAATATCACAACCATACAAGCACAACCACACAATCTGCCCACCCCCTCACCATCAGACCGAGGACGCTGCTCTCGGCTGACCCCAGCACAGGATGCCTCTGAAAACCACAAAATTGGGATAATCTTCTTACTGAAAAGTCCGGGCGGAAAGAAAGTGCCGTGGTCTATTACAAAGATGGCACACAGGGAGAGTTTCATCGTCTCTCGCAACAAGGGAGGATTTATGGGCCAGGCTTAAAATAACTGTACCACACAGAGATTTCCAGAACCTATGTATTTCTATTGAATCTCAGCATTTTAATTCTTGAGTATTGCATTATGCTTATTTTGAGGGAATGTTTTTCAAATGAGCCAAAATGGCAAACTTGTTTAATGAGCCCACTGGTAAGTTACCTTTATCCTCCTCAATGACCTGCCAGGACAGCTGTGCCCTGCTCCACAGGGGTCAGGTGACAGAACACCAGGGTGTCCAACTCTGACCTTTAACCCCTGAAGAAAGGGCTGTACGAAATTAGGGGGAATTAGCTGGGCCAGGAGAAGTTAAGTGGGCAGAGCCCTTTCATCATCAGCCCAATTCTGACGCCGCTTCCTTCCTCCAGAAATTTCTCCTCTCAAGTGGCCGATCGTTTCCCCCGTCGTCTCGGAAACGGGTATCCACAGCAATGTGGGTCACAGAGCAAATCCAATGCAGTACAACAGCAACTGCTGAGGCGATCGCAGCGCTGGTGGATCTCACTGGGTTCAGGAGTTCT